AGCCCAAAACTGGATGCAGTACTCCAGCTGTGGCCTCACCAAGGCTGAGTACAAGGGGAGACTGACGTCCCGGGATTTGCTTGAGAAGCATCTATGGATGCAAGCCAGCGTTTTGGTCGGTTTACTAGCCGCAGCATTGCATTGCAGGCTCACGTTCATCTTGTGGTCAATGATGACACCCAAGTCTCTTTCTTCTGTAGTGCTAGCCAGTGTAGCACTGCCGAGCCTATAAGGATGTTGCAGGTTTTTCTTCCCAAGGTGGAGAACCTTGCATTTTTTGGTGTTAAACACCATCAGGTTCTTGTCTGCCCATTTGCTGAGCCTGTCCAGATCTGCCTGGATCACCCGCGTGTCTTCTGGCGTGGATGCTTTGCCCCAAAGTTTGGTGTCATCGGCGAACTTGGACAGTCCGCTTGTGTCTCCAATGTCCACATCATTAATGAAGATGTTGAACAATATGGGTTCATAGAGTCCCACTAAGTCCTAAGGCAGACCTCTTATAACTAACAGTACATCTCCTGTGACTCTCCAAGTAGCAGAACAACAGAGAAAACAAACAAGGAGAAATTTGCTGTGTAGGATTCAACTAGGACATATATTTTGGTAAAAGCTGTGCAAACATTTATTACTGTCAATATTTTCCTAGCAAAAATCACCATAACCCAGAAGATCTTCAGCCCAGTGATTTCTTTCCCATTTCCCACAAAAAGAAAAAAAAAATTATTTGTTTCACCTCAGAATCACCCTCCAAAGTTCAAAAAAACTTGAAATGTCACTGAAAGCCAATGATGAGATCCTACCAGTTTTTTATAAAACCTGCATTTTTTTGTTGGGATAGGAGATAACTATTAGTCATCTGCTCTACAATAACTTCCCATATACATACTCTTACCCAGTAGCATATAAAACCTAACTCATGCAATTTAATCCTCCATGAAAAAGGGCTAAACTACTATAATTTAGCTTTAGCTTATCAAGGCGTAAAACCATGCACAAGGGTAGTTACTGAAGAGCAACTGGCAGTTGGTAAATCCCCTCCCATCTTTTACTTCATTAGTAACTTGTTCGTGTGCCCAGACCCAAGGTGTTCTGTCTACGAACTATTTCTGTCTATGAACTATTTTTTCAGCATTAGCATTTAATTCTGGTTTGCAAACATTTCCAAGCAGTAGTTTATATTTCACATATTATCATCATCATTTTTAAATCTGATTTGTTAAGAGTCAGTCTGCCCATTCCTTTACTTACCATCTGCCATTAAACATTGCTGAAACCAGGATTTCCCAAACACTTGATCCAGTCTTTCCCCATGGCGCATCACTAGCAGGCCTCTTCTGACAGTAACGTTCTGAGAAACCTGGATGAGATCATTTATTTTGGTTATAGTATCACCTAGAACCTGTGACTAAGATATTAGTGCCTTTGTGCTAGGCACTGTACAAACACAATAAGGAACAGTCCCCTTCCTGAATAGCTTATAACATAAAAAGACAAAAAAGAGATGGGGTGAAAAGAAGAAAGTGTTGTTAATCCCAATTTTACAGGTGAGGTTCTTAGGCACACAGAGACCTAATACTGTGTCCCTTAGGGGTCAATGGAAAGTTGTTATGACTGTAGTAGGTTACAGATTAGGTTCTAAATGCATGTTCACTCTAGGAAAAGGGTATGCTGCTAGTATGTGAACATCTAGCATGGACAAGACTATTATAGTTTCCATGCACATTATCTTCTTGAGGTAAAACAAAAGAAGGAAAATAGCATTCACCTCAGCTAGCTAACATGTTTTTTTCTCACTTCTGCCCACAAGAATTTTCTCACCAGGAGGGTACTAAAACACTGGAACAGGTTACCCAGAGAGGTGGTGGACTCTCCGTCTTTGGAGGTTTTCTAAACCCAGCTAGACAAAGCTTTGGCTGGGATGATCTAGTTAGGGCTGGTCCTGCTTTGAGCAGGGGGCTGAACTAGATGAGCTCTTGAGGTTCCTTCCAGCCCTAATTTTCTATGATTCTATGTTACAGGCATAACTCCTTGTCTATACCAGGACAGAATATATCTTTTTTTTCTTTTCTTGCACGAGTGAAAGAAGGTCTATGTTGCTGACAGAGGCAGGAACTAACCTCAAACCGATTTTAAAGTCAAAGTTCTACTTAGAGATTATCCCCTCTCGTTTTGATTTGGAATACACATGCATATTTTAAACAGTGCTGGATTTCTTTAAAACCTGTCCAATTTGTATATCGACAATTATGTAGCTATATTTATAGGTAAAAATATATGTCTTATAAATTCAAATAATCTTCTCTATGTGTATATTATACTGCGTTGAGGAAAGCAAATTTAAGCTCAAGCTCAGAAGTAGGTCAAACTATTTTAACAACTTCCTCAGTGCTGATCAAGTCTACCATCATTGCTAGGGTATACAAGCTACAGCTATATGTTTCCAATAGTACACATCAAAATGAGTGAATACATGAGGATGCAGAGAATGAGAACCCCATGAGGGGTGCTAGGTGCAGAGAATGAGAATCTTTTGGAGACAGCTTGCATTCAAATACTCCATTGTACACTAAACCATATCATAGCTCTGTAGCAAGAGAAAGACTTTTCAGCTTCAAGAAGAGATGTTACAGTACAACAGTGGGAGGATTATGGTTCAAAACTAGGGTTTTGTTGTTTTGCTATGCTGGTTTGAGGCAGAGGGAACTTGTATCCTATGCCCTTTCAGAACAGATGTGTAAAAAGCTGCAATTCTCATTAGGAAGCTGGGGGACTGTGGCGTAGACACCTATACAGTCCAATGGGTCACCAACTGGTTAGAGAGTCGCACCCAGAGGGTGGTAGTGGATGGGTCCTTCTCGACCTGGAAGGACGTGGGAAGTGGGGTCCCACAGGGCTCGGTCCTTGGGCCCGCCCTGTTCAACATCTTCATCAGTGATTTGGATGAGGGGGTGCAAAGCACCCTGTTCAAGTTTGCTGATGACACTAAGATGTGGGGGGAAGTGGGCACAATTGAGGGGAGCAACAGGCTACAGTTAGACCTAGATAGGTTACAAGGATGGGCGGAGGAGAACAGGATGGGGTTTAACACGGACAAGTGTAAGGTGATGCACCTGGGGAGGAACAATCGGCACCACACATACAGGCTGGGGAACTCCCCTCTTGTCAGCACGGAGGTGGAAAAGGATCTGGGAGTCATTATTGACTCCAAGATGAACATGAGTCGGCAATGTGGGGAGGCGGCTAGGAAGGCCAACTGCACCTTGTCGTGCATCCACAGATGCATCTCGAGCAGGTCCAAGGAGGTGATCCTCCCCCTCTATGCGGCACTGGTCAGGCCGCAGCTGGAGTACTGCGTCCAGTTCTGGGCGCCGCACTTTAAGAGGGATGTGGACAGCATCGAGAGGGTCCAGAGGAGGGCCACTCGTATGATCAAGGGACAGCAGGGTAGGTCCTATGAGGAAAGGTTGCGGGACCTGAACCTGTTCAGCCTTCAAAAGAGAAGGCTGAGGGGGGATCTTGTGGCCTGTTATAAACTGGTTAGGGGGGATCAGCAGGCGCTGGGGGAGTCCCTGTTCCCCCGAGCGCCGCAAGGAGTGACCAGGAACAATGGTCACAAGCTGGCGGAGGGAAGGTTTAAGTTGGACATCAGGAGGCGCTACTTCACGGTCAGGGCGGCTAGGGTCTGGAACCAGCTTCCAAGTGAGGTGGTGCAGGCTCCCACCCTGGGGGTTTTTAAGAGGAGGTTGGATGACCACCTTACTGGGGTTGTTTGACCCCAGTACTCTTTCCTGCCATGGCAGGGGGTTGGACTAGATGATCTGCTCAGGTCCCTTCCGACCCTAGAAACTATGAAACTATGAAACATGTTGTAGATTCAGTTACAACTCTGAAAGATGTGTATGTAAGGAGCATGTAAGCAGCATTGTCACAAAGCATTTCTGCAGGACATATTCATTCAGTGCATGCAATTCTCTTGCTCAATGCTAGAATAGTGTGAGTAGTAGTTTGCTCCCAGTGCCACTTTACTTGTGGTTTCTGGGAGGTAGTGGGATGACAGCTGCCTCTTACTCTGCAGTGACTCACTGGTCCCTCTAGGGCTGTTAACATTCCTGACACTGCCAGTTACTGCTAGCTCTTCTGCCTCTCCTCCTGTCTCCATGCTCTGCCCTGACACTCAGTTTCTAAGAGTACTGTGGCTCTGCATTACACTGAGTTTGTGATAGGAAAGTTACGGTAAAACAAAACCATACAGCATCCCTGTGTTCTGCACAGGGTGTGGAGATGCAAGGCCAAAGAGTGCTCAAGGCATGAATTGCATTAACAGATCCTAGTATTATTAATGCTCTGCTTAGGAGTCAAGACAAACATTTTCTGCTCCAGGTCTGTGCTCCATGTCCACATTTTTCTACATTCCCAGCAGCTTAATGAAACAATGTCAGTGCAGGTATGATAGAAATCTGATCCATTTGTTTTATTTTAGCTTTATAATACAGATCATGAATACATCAGTCTATTCAACCATATAGGTGGTAGATAGGAATTGAGAAATATTCCTTTAAATAGCTTGGGCCTTATATTGCTGAAGCCATCAGCATACTTCCAGGGAAGTTACACAGTCAGCTTGCCAGGCCCTGCATTTTATATTTGTATGCAGCAGTTGGTTGACTGTGTCTGTGTGGTTTTCCGTTTTCCTAATGTTGTGTGGACAACACGGACATAGCAACGCCTTAATCCTCTGCTACACACATGGGAGGCATTCTGTTGCAATTGGGCCCATCTGGTTTGGAGCAGAACTTTGCTCCACATTCTGGCTGCCAGTTATCTTCTGCTGGGAAGTGATATTTCCAAAAAAATTAGGTTTCTGAAGTGCGTGTTTACATAGTTCAGGCCTGGCCAAATCACAGAGGAAGAGCTGTCAGGAAGGATGAATAAATGGGGTATCTTTTAATCAGGTTCAGGAGACAATTGGACAAATTCACACAGGAAGGATCCATTAGTAACTATTATCATATTTGCTTCCATACCACACCCTCCTCTCCCTGACTCAATCGGCCCTCCAAAACTGAAGTAATGTACCATAAGCAGAAGAGAAAATTTTTCTTCACTGGAACAGAAGCATTACTGCCACTGGGCATATCTACATGTGTGCTTTAATACACATTAGCCTATTTTAATGTGCATTAATGCAGTGAGATTTGCTACGGGGACACCCTCCCCTGATCAGTGGGACTGGTCACAGGAGAGACACGTGTCCCCCCGACTAAGGTGGCACCAGTCACCCATGTATCCAGAGTAGGAGATTGTACCACTTCTGGGGGGAGTCTATTCCAAACCCTGGACACTCAAGTTGTAAAGAAGTTTTTCCTTATTGTCTATTCTAAAGCGGTCTGTTAGTCCTAGTCTTCCCCTGGGGAGCCTTGGTGAACAGACGTTCTCCCAGTCCCTGATGCATGTCCTTTGTATATTAATAGGCTACCACCAATTCCCCTCTGAGCCTTCTCTTCTCTAGGCTGAACAGACCCATATCTCTCAGCCTGTCATTGTATGGCCTGCTCTCCATACCTCTAACCAAATGGGTAGTCCTCCTTTGGACTCTCTCAAGCTTCTCTTTTGAGTTACTGAGAATTAAAATAGGGTAATGCACATTAAACGTCACTTAAAAACCATGCTTTTTAGTTAATGTGCATTAAGACCTCAGAATGGAGGGCACTTTAACATGTGCTTCGGGGGAGGGGGCAGCGTTTTAATTAGAGCACCTCCAAAAACACTTTAATTAGAGCGGCTTAATTAAAGTGCCGCCGTATCTCCTGTATCAGTGTTGCTGTGCTTAAAAATGGCAGTGGGGACACTTGAACTAAAGCTCGTTAAGTGTGGGGACACTGATACATGAGTCTCAATCAAGTCTGTTCTGACACACTAGAATTCCAGCACATTGGTGCAGTCTCCACGCTTATGTATAGGCACCTGGAGGCATTAGCTTTAAAGCACATGAACTAAAGTGTGTTAATGCATGTGTAGATGTGCACTTTAACGCACATTAGAACATCACTAAAAAAAATTGTGTTATTTAATTAATGCACATTAAGACAGGTTAATGCATATTTTCTTAGTACCTTACAATGGAGGGCATTTTTACATGTACTGTGGGACAACCCACCAGGTGCTTTAATTAGTGAGCTGAGGTAATTAAAAGTGCCCACACATCACATGTATCAATGTCCCCATGCTGGAAAAATAGCGGTAGGGTGCTTTGAAATAAAACACATTAGATGAGTTTTATTTCAAAGTGCCCTGCTGGTATTTTTTTAGTGTGGAGATGCACAGGGCCACTGATAACATGGGAAGCTACCAGAGTGTGTTAATTACCATGCTCCAGCAGACTCAATTAATTGAGTCTGCTCTGATGCACTGCATTTCCAGCGCATCGGAACAGGCTCTGTGCACATATATAGGAGCCAGGAGGTACTAGATTTAATGTGCATTAACTAAAGCATGTTAATGCACATGTAGACATGCCCACTAGTGTGAACAATACTTGCCAGATTATCTCCCCTATCTGAATATAGGCCTTTCCTTGATCTAGAGGATCCTTTCATTCTTTGCACATAAAGAGAAGTGTCAGCACATTTAGGAAAACGTACATTTTTTCATTTCTTTTGCTACATTTTGATCTGCATAAGGTTTTTAATACAAGGTAAAAGCAATATATTTATAGAAAATATTCAAACAGAACAAAAATACTCCATTAAATGTTAATTTAAAAATATATATTTATATGAACATACTGTGTCATTTATGTATCGGTCAAACAGTAAGAAATGAAAAACAATTACCTGGAAAGCAAGCATCTTGGTTACACTCTTCATCATTACTGGATTATGGACTTCACCATTCAGCTTTGCACTAGGTTCACTTTCATCTTGGGTGAGCAGTCTAGAAGATGGAATGAGTGTGTATTCCCTATGGGAAAAATAGAAGCAAAGACTTATAGAAAGATAGGATCCTTAAGGCATGGATTTGTATACAGGGAAGTCAAAAGCAAAATTCTTGTTGACTTCAAAAGGAGATGCACCATCGTGTGCTAATTCGATGTTATTCTCCAAAATGCATGTGAAAAAGTGATGCCAGAGTACTTGTCATTTGCCAGGTTTTTGGCTAATGAACAATACTATCATAACATGTGCGTTCTTTGAAAGCTAAGGAAGCAGCTTGCTCTTGTCACCTCTGTGACAACAGTCACCACTACCTATCCTATGCCCATAAACATCAGTGATAAAACTCCAAATGAACTTCAGTGCTGAATAAGGCTCAGGGTGGTTCTCCGGTCCTTCCTGGTATCACCCTACTATTACCATTTTACAAAGGATGTAACCATACACCAAATAAGGAGATTTGAACAGATACACTTTTACACTGTTCTAATACTTGAGACCTCCAGGATTTTTGCTTTCACATCTCTTTTGTCCCCCCTTCCTTTTTTATGGCTAAATGAGTCAACAGATTATGAAATGACTGGGTACATTTTCATGGACATGTGTACCTTCTTGGCTGTAGCCTCAATGCAAGGAACACATGTTGGGACAATTTGTTTTACTCACAAATCACAGTAAAGCCAGATGCTCAAAGTGACCTGTGTTCAAATCCCCCATTGGGCTAATTTATGAATCATAACCCCTGCAACCCCATCCCCCTGCTCTTGAGCAATGGGAGGAGAGTAAGTGGCACCACATTAGGAACAGTATCAGAGATACCCCTTTGATATAGCTCTGACTGAACTGGGTCAAAGGTTTGCCAAAGCTGAGATGACCCATCAGGCTGGCATGATATGAGGCATGCCAGTTTCTGTAAATAAAAACACACAAGGGAGTGATGTGACTAGCATTACATCCAGCCACTGTTGATTCCCAAAATTCAGTGACTAGGAACTCATTGTATAGCTGGGTCAATGGAGGACTGGGCAGGGGGTACAAGTATTTGATACAAATCCAGAACAAGTCTCAAATTCATGCTTCTGGATTCATAATGTGGTGGCCAGATACTTTACCTGGCTACCACCAGGGCCGTACCTGGGGTGGGGGAGCGAATCGGGGTGACCGCCTTGGGCCCCATGCTTTGAGGGGCCCTGTGGAGCGGGGTGGAGCAGCCATGGCAACTCTGTGCCACTGGCTTTGTGTCCAGCCACTCACTGCACACCCCCACTGCCACTGCAGATGGTGGTGGCAGCTTCTTTGGGTCTGGGGCACATGGGGTTGGAGCCGGGGCAGAGTCCTGCATGGGCTGATTTGCCCTGGGCCCTGCACCCTGCTTGGGTCGGCTCTGGCTACCACTTTCCTAACTGCTGTCTTACACTGCAGCATATTACTACTCCTCCCTTTCCATCAACACTGGTTCAGCTGCCTAATCAATGAAAAAAGTGTAGTGGCAAAAAATTTTTCCATCTACATGTTCTGGGATGACCAGTTCTGCTTCTGCCTACATGTCCAGTTCCAAAATCTGAGAAGCACATTTTGAGCCATAGGAAGGTTCTTATTAAATGAGAATACTTCCTGTTCCAAGTTTTCATTTATATGCTCTCTATATATTTGCTGATGCAACTCCTAAGCTAAGAAAAGCATGCTAGAATGTTAAACTATAGTATATGATGGTAAGTCATGGGTGTAAACCTCCTGAAATGTAAGTGTCAAACAGGAAATTATACATGGTTAGCTCCCTCTCTCCACTCTTTGAGGATACAGGACTATATTTTAGTCCTTTATACATCAAGCTGAGCTCTTATCTGTATCATCTGTTGGGCATGCAACTACAGAGCTAAACACAGGAAATGAAACAGATGGCTTTTGAGATATGAAGTTATATCAAGATCAGAGTGGCAGTGATGTAGAGAAGAGGCTTCTACATCTTCTTATTACTAGTTATCACTGTCACCATTAACATGAACAGGAGGAAAGGAGAAGTAGTAAGTAATACACTATATATATATATATATGTTAAGTCATCAACATGTTTAGGTTATACAAAAACGTATCTGCTGCCACATGACATGCGAAACTTGGTGTGACAGTGTTCTTAGACTGAGATGTATGTTAATCTCAGTCTGAGATGTATGTATACCAATTGTCAGTGTGGAGTGACTATGCTTGCTTCCCACACTTGTATAAAATATAGATTGGCCTTAAGGAAGTTAACAAGCCATAAAAATCAACAGGAAAGATGCTCATCTCTTGTTACACAGAGAATGGAGCAAACTGGCTAGTAAATGCACAAGGGATTATGAAAAGGGAGGGTGCTCCTGTTTCTAACGTATACTTGACCCTGCCAGAAGTCTACAGGATTTTCCTGATTACAGTATCTCCAGCATTTTGCTATGCATAGTCTATGGATTTCTCCATCTTTTAATGAAATGAAGACAGCATGCAAACATATGCTAAATTTGTTTTTCCCTGGCATTTTTCTCTGTCAGAAAAATCAATTTTAATATATCCTGAGAGTTTCTTCATGTGCAGCAGCACTTTGGATTTTACAAAACTGTAAATGTCTCGGAAACTGTGATTTAAAGTCACTCATGCAATTATGGTAAAATAGAAGCTAGTTAAATTAAATCATCATTATTTATTTTGAAGATACAGTAAATTCCCTAAATCGATAGCACATCATCTGTTCAGATAGACTGAATTTTCTATGGATTTTAAAATATACTGTTCATTATTTTATGAGTGGTAATTAATTATGCAGCAGCCATTTAAGAAAGTTCATGTTTTGGGTCTTATTTTCTCCAGCCACTCTTAGCAAAAGGATTGCTAGTTTTTGAGAACTGAGCACTAACCCGTATACATTCTAGCAGGCTACAGCATTTAAGAATGGCTACTTTTAAATGTATTACTGTTTGATTTATTGAGGATATTCATCAACCTTTTTCCCTATCACTGCATTTGTTGATATATATTTTACTTCAAAGGAATGTTCTTGAATCAAAGTCTTCATTAAAAAAAAACCTGTTTTTATTCATTAGAGTTAGAAAAAGCACTTGAAAATGAAGTGCTGTAATCACTGTCAAGTAGTGTCACTTTTGATACTTGTTATCAAAGAGAGGCTCCTCTCAGGACCCCCCCC